CCACTCACCTCAGCCTCCCAAAAGCGCGGGATTACAGGCTGAGCCACCGAGCCCAGCTTCTGGTTGTCTTATTCTCTGTTCTTATTTACAAGACACCATTGTCTCCTTCTCTAGTCCCATCTCTACACTATTGGGACTAGTGTTCGTTTATTTGCAAAAGAGGCTTGAAATTTGAGAAAGGAGAACTGGAAGGCAGAAAACTTCAGTCGCATAGGGGACTCCTCTCATCATCTTTTAACATCAGTTTCCCCTACCTCCCCCCACCTTTTTTTAACCCAGAGTGGAGGGTTTGTTTGTTTGATTGAGTTGGGGTCTCATCTTGTCCTCCAGGCTGGAGTGCAGTGACACGATTATGATTACAGCTCATGGCAGCCTCCACCTCCTGGGCTCAGGAAATCCTGCTGTCTCACCTTCCCTAGTAGCTGGGACTACAGGTGCTTGCCACCACGCCTGGTTAATTAATTTATTTATTTATTTTTGTAGAGATGAGGTCTTGCTATGTTGCCTCGGCTGGTCTGGAACTCCAGGGCTCAAGCAATTCTTTCGCCTCAGCCTCCCAAAGTGCTGGGATTACAAGCAAAAACTACTGACCTCAGAGTGGTTTTTCGGGGGGGGGGAAGGTACTATAATTTGGAAGTTGATACCTTAGAAATAGGAGACAGAAAATATATGTAAATACTCTTTTCCAATATGTATTTTGTAGATACTAGAAAAGTTAACTACAGAAAATTGGAGTTGTGGGTTTATGGGGGAGATTATATATGTGTGTGTGTGTGTGTGTGTGTGTGTGTGTGTGTAGAGATATATATATATATATATATCTCTACACACACATATATATTTATCTCTTTCATTTAAAAAAATTGATCTACATTAGTGAGGAAAATTGCCCCTTTTCATATTTGTTGCAGCTCTTTCTTTGCTGTTTATTTTTGATGGCCAGAAATTTTGTGATATAAAGTTTCTGTCCTCACCTCTTTTTCTTTTTCTTTTTTTTTTTAATCAATATTTTTAATTATGGTTTTGTGGGGTACAGTTAAGGGTTAGGTGTTCAATTATGTTTCATTCAGGCACCCTGTTGATAAGAGGTGTTTCCCCATCCCCAGACAGATATTTGCTACTGTTAATCCTATCCCCCCCCATAGTTTCCCAGTACCATCAGTCATTTTCTTATAGTATTACACTGGATGTTCACCTCTTTTTCTTTATATTCTCTGGGGTTTGCCTAAATTTTTTTCTTATCCAGAGGTCAGAAAAATATTCAACTATATTTTTGTATTATTTTTAATACTTAAAATTTAAAATGTAAACACTTGATCCACTTGGAATTTATTTTGGTTTATAGTGTTGAAATGACCTAAGTTTCTATTTTTGTTTTCCTCCCAAAAAAGTAGCAATTGCTTTGGTACCATGTATTGTATAGTCTCAGCCCCACTAATTTGGGATGCCTCTTTCTTCATATGTTATTTGTGATATAAAAACCAGGATGTTGCATTTTGAAATGTTTGTTTTTTCTTAAAATGTAAATATCTCATTTGTTTGTATGGGATTATAAAAGCGTTTCAACTTGATTATTACAAATCCAAAGATTGCCAAAAGGTGTTGAGGAAAAAATGAAAGCCTCCAGCCTCCTATGCCACAATTAAGTTTGGTTTCTTTTTTTTTTAATCTTTAGAGACGAGGTCTCACCAAGTTGTCCAGGCTGGTCTGAACCCCTGGGCTCAGACAGTCTTCTCACCTCTGCCTCCCAAGGTGTTGAGTTTACAGTCATGAGCCACCATGCCCAGCCAGTTTCTTTTTTTAGAGCTGAGGTGTTTTTTTCCCTTCTTCCCACAATATATTGAAGTGGGTAAATGACCTACAATATACAAGTCTTCTCTAGCCTAGCTACAATATACAAGTCTTCTCTACCAAGCTTGGAATTTACCTGGATGTTTCCTCTTCAGGAAAATGAACTTGTTCTTCAGGAAAGTAAAAATGAGTTTGTGTTTTAGGAGCTGTCATCGACTGGCCCATGGAGGAGGGCAAGGAAGTGTGGGATTATGTGACTGTCCGTGAGGATGCACACATGTTCTGGTGGCTCTATTATGCCACCAATCCCTGCAAGAACTTCTCAGAACTGCCCCTGGTCATGTGGCTTCAGGTAAAGTGGTGCCCCTGCCTGAGCTGAGGTTGAGGCCAAGGCTTTTCCTCTTGGCCCTTTGCTGGCTCTTAAGGGCTCAAGTCTCAGTGGTGAAGAACTGGGTTGGTCCAGCAGCCAGGCCTGGGAGCTTGGCAGGCTTCTGGGGCAGGCGGAGGCAATGGTATAACCAAAGAGGCCAAATCAGAGAGGGAGAATTTCTAGCCTTTTGCCAGTGTCATTCTATATGGAGTCCTCACTAAAAATTCTTGATGGTATATTTGACTATATACTGATAGTGTTTGAGGCTGGGCATGGTGGCTCATGCCTGTAATCTCAACACTTTGGGAGGATGAGGCAGGAGTATCACTTGAGGCCAGGACTTCAAGACTAGCCTGAATATAGCAAAACCCTGTCTCTATTAAGAATATAAATAAAAGAAAATTAAAAACAAAAAACATGTTTTAGGCAAAGACTGAAATACCCTGACTCAACACTTTCCTTGTTCTCCCCAGAATCCTTTCCTTCACCCTAACTTCTTTTTTTTTTTTTTGAGTTGGAGTCTCACTCTGTCGCCCAGACTGGAGTGCAGTGGCCGCTCCCACCCACCGCAGCCTCGACCTGCTGGGCTCCGGCGATCCTTCCGCCTCAGCCTTCCAAGTAGCTGGAACTACAGGCGCGCACTACCACGCCCGGCTAATTTTTGATTTATTGTAGAGATGAGGTCTCGTCAAGTTGCCCAGGTGGGTCTCGAACCCACGGGCTTAGGCAATCCACTCACCTCGGCCTCCCAAAGTGCTGGGATTACAGGCTGAGCCACTGAGCCCAGCCACGCCCTAACTTGTAACCCCCAGAAAACCAGATATTTTGAAGGGACTGCTACCAGCCTTGTGCATCTAAGTGTGAATATTGGGTCTTCTCATCTCCCTAAATGCTTGCATTGTAGGTCTGATTGTAGGAGTCAAGGCAGAGAACTGGTTGAAAGGTATTCAGGGGCAGATAGAGGCTTCTTCCTGGCATTTCTGAAATTCTGTGTCTGTCCAGAGGTGGCCCATACCCACCTGGAAGACCAGTCTCTAAGGAGGTACTAAGGAACATAGTCTTGCTTCAGCCTCGAAAATGTGGCCATGGCCCAGCCAGGGCTCCAATTCGCTCACTGGTACAAAGGGACCTTGGTGTTTGCCTCCATGGGGGACAAATGGAACTTCCTCCAAAAATGCCAGTATTGATAAGCACCTCCTAGGCCAGTTGCTGCAGACTTTCTGGTGATATAGAGTGAAGAGAAACAGAGGCCTCTCTCTCTCTGGGATGATCACAGGAGGGCTACATGTGGGGCTTAGCCCCAGGGTGCAGATTTGAGAGTGCCACAGAAGAACAACACATGTGTGTCAACCCAGGGAGCTCTGTTCACCTCTGGCGATTGGAGACAAGGTGCAGCATGGCTGGCAGTGAGAACCAGACTGTATACAAGCACAGGCCTGCTGGCCCAGAGCCCTGGACTTTCAGTGCCTTCCTGCCACTTATGGTTGTGGCAAGATACTTCCTTCTCTGAGCCTTGGTTTTCAAATTTAGGGGATTTTGGTGATTTTCCAGTTGTGTATAAGTCAGCAGAACTTTTTTTACGCTCAAGTGAAAGCTTACACATGGAAGGCAAAGCAGATAAAAGTGGAAGTGCTGAGGCAGGGGTGGGGGCTAGGGACTGAGTTCCATCCATTTGACCTCCCCACTTTGTCCCAAGACACCCTAGAAACACTTTTTGCCCTGTCAGTAGAGCAATTTGAAAAACACTGAATTTCTAAAGTCGCAGGCTGTCCTTTTGGTAGACTACAGAGCAGGATTGTTGTTTTAATTGAATTAGTTACTAACATTTTTAAATGAGGACATTTCCTTCCTCTTTCCAAAAACCAGGAGATACAGAACTTTGGGGCCTGAACTCACTGTCCCTAAAGCTGAGTGGTGGTGGCCCCCTTTCAGAGAGGGCAGTAGCTCCTGGATTAGGGGATCTCTCTGCTACCATCTGACTTGCTCTGCTCCTTGGCCTCTGCCTGGCCTCTGGAGGCCATCCAGTTTGTGGCCTTTGGTTCGGTTAATCCTTTGAGCTGAGATGCTATTTGAAGTGGGTCAACTGAAGACACTCTTTTCTACTTCCCCAAAGACACAGGAAAGAAAAAAAATTATACTTGCAGAAGAAATAATTAAATTAGATTAAAAGGAGATCTATTTTGGTAGCCTATTGAGGACATGTGCCCTGACTTTAGGAATTGAGGCTGCCGGGTGTGGTGGCTCATGCCTGTAATCTCGGCACTTTGGGAGGTGGAGGCAAGAGGATTGCCTGAGCCTGTGGGTTCAAGACCAGCCTGGGCAACATGACAAGACCTCGTCTCTACAGTAAATCAAAAAAAGTAGCTGGGTATGGTGGCACACGCCTGTAGTTCCATCTACTTGGAAGGCTGAGGTGGAAGGATTACCTGAACCCAGCAGGCTGAGGCTGTGGTGGCTGTGGGTGTGCCACTGCACTCCAGCCTGGGTGACAGAGTAAGACTCTGACTCAAAAAAAAAAAAAAAGAATCAAGCCTATGTCGTCTGAGTGGAGTAACAAGCTATTTTAGGGACACTTTCAGGTCACTAAAGCATGTCATTTGGTCCACTGACACATTTACTGTATTTCAGAGTCACTGGATAGCCTCAGGCCATGATAGTACCCAATCCCAGAGTTCAAGACAAAATAAGATTTTGCAGTAGGATGCATTCAAATGGAACAGAAGCATCCTCTAGCCAGCATCTCGTTGCCATTGGGGAGACGGTGAAGGAAGGGATGGGAGTTGTCTCCTCCTGTCGCCATAGCTTACTAGAAGCAGGCAGGGAAGTGAGATTTCTCCTGCAAGTCCCAGCCCTCAGGGATCCCAGCTTCCCCCCTGTCACTTTGATCTTCCCTTATCCCAATAATTCCACTAGGAAAAAGGGACCCAGCTTTCATATGAGGGCACATTCTTAGCTGTCTTTGATTGCATATTGCGTTGTAAGCATTTTTCATTGTTGCTACACAGTTTTCTGTAGTTTGGGATTCTGAAAAGCAGTGGAAAGTTCCACGCTGTAGACTCGCCCATTCCCCTGATGGGGGATGTTCAAGTTGCACCCTCATGTCTGCTGCTGTGATGAATAGCACTGTGATGAACAGCTCCATCTGGTTTGTGAACTTTTTACTGCTGGGTTAGGAAATCTTAAGATACAAAGTGCTGGCTGGGTGTAGTGGCTCACACCTGTAATCCCAGCACTTAGAGAGGTGGAGGCGAGAGGATTGCCTGAGTCCACGGGTTCAAGATCAGCCTGGGCAACATGGCAAGACCTCGTCTCTACAATAAATAAAAAAATTAGCTGGGTATGGTGGTGCACACCTGTAGTTCCAGCTACTTGGAAGGCTGAAACAGAAGGATCACCTGAGCCCAGCAGGTCGAGGCTGCAGTGACGGTGAGCGTGCCACTGCACTCCAGCCTGGGCAACAGTGAAACTCCAACTCAGAAGAAAAAAAAGGATACAAAGTGCATGTGATCAGGGGAATGTATAGCCTTCTTGCTGTTGTCTCGTTACCCCTTAATGCCGGGTCTACCTTTTTTTTTTAACCTCTTTCCCTCTCTAGCTTTTCTTATACAAATTATCCTAGCATCTGTTTTGCCAGAGCTGTTCCCTTTCATTTTTGTGTACCTTATGCATAGAGAGGCCATATGGTTTTATTCTAGGCTCTGGACCTGTCCCTTCACCTCAGCTGACAAGGCTCTCCTCATAACCTCCCCTGCTCAGCTGACCCCTGGATTTGTCCAGAAAAGCACTGATTGTCTTTTTTCCCCTGACCATCTCCCAAAGGGCTTCCTCCCTCCTCAATCAGAAAGTCCACCCAGGGCCAGGTGCAGTGGCGCACACCTGTATTCCCAAGTGCTTTGAGAGGCCAAGGAGGGAAGATCGCTTGAGCCCAGAAGTTCAAGATCAGCCTAGGCAACATAGCGAGACCTCATCTCTACAGAAAAATGTAAAAATTAGTCAAACATGGTGGCACACTCCTGTAGTCCCAGCTACTCGGGAGACTAAGGTGGGAGGATCAGTTGAGCCCAGGAGTTGGAGGCTACAGTGAGTCATGATCACACCACCGCACTTCATCCTGGGCAACAGTGAGACTGCAACTCAACCTGCCCCATTCTGCCCCTTTCCTGTCCTCCTTGAGTGCTTCAGAGCCCATACAACTTCTGTCTCACAGTCCAGGGCCCCCAGCACCAAGCTTCAGTTTAGAATCCTGCCTCTCCCTGCCCTCGGTGCCCACAACATCCCAGGCCCTCTGCCCTGGTACTTCAGAGTTTGCTACGTTATATCCAGAGAATCTGCTTGATCAAACTGCCCCTTAGTCTGGGTCCCTTATGAAGGACTCTGAGAAGAGAGTCTCCCACCTCCTGGGGAAAGAACGGTGGGATGGGGAGTCACAAAACTCAGGGCTAGTCCTGTGGAGCCCCTAATTGCCCAGTGGTCCAGGACCAGTCACCTTCCCTCTCTGAGTTTTCCTGCTCCTTTGAAATGAGAGCAGTTAGGAGAGATGTAAGATGCCTTCCAGCTCTTCCATGCTGAAAGCCAGGAGCCCCATGGCAGGCCAAGGTTCTAGCTCGGGGTCTTTCAAAGAAAAAGACTTCGGTGGTTACAGTGGAGGTCAGTTATTAATGCAGAAGTCCTGGGTCACTGGAGAGCTGGTGCCTTTTGTGCAGGTTGACCCAGCCATCACTAACTCGCAAATTGTTTCTAGTGAATGTAGTCATTCATTGTAATCACTGAGATTTGACTAACATTTTCTCTGGGTTTGTTTGTTTCTTCTCTCTTCCACAGGGTGGTCCAGGCGGCTCCAGCACTGGATTTGGGAACTTTGAGGAAATTGGGCCCCTTGACAGCGACCTCAAACCACGAAGAACCACCTGGGTACAGTGATTCTAGCTGAACCTGCCCTGTGGCCTCTCAGAGCCCAGGCCCCACCCAGCCCCGCCCAGCTCTGGGTGGGGCCACAGATGAAGCAATCCATCCACTGCATTCTTCCTCTTCCTGTGTATGCTGAAGCTTTGGGCCTCAGCTCCCAGCTTCTCCCATTTCTGAGGACAGTTTGTCCCAAGCAGTTTCTCTTGCCTTCTCCAGCTCAGTGACCTTTCTCTCCATCCACCTTCAAAACCTGCTCCAGCAGACACTGGGGGCCCTGTACTATTCCCGTGTTGGCTCCCTGTGCAGTCTCAGACTCCAGTGTTCCACCGTCTATCCATCACTCCCAGTCCTTTCTTCTCTCCTACGCTCCTATGTTACGTCTTGACTTCATCAAAACAAGTCCCTTGTCCCCGTCCCCTTTTTTAAAAAAAAAAAGTTTGTTTGTTTGTTTGTTTACTTAAGTCAGAGTCTGGCTCTGTCATCCAGGCCAGAGTGCAGTGGCATGATGGGGGTTCACAGCATCCTCAACCTTCTGGGATTAGGCAGTCCTCCCACCTCAGCCTCCCCAGTAGCTGGGACTACGTACACACCACCATGCCCTGCTAATTTTTTAATTTATTGTAGACACAAGGTTTTGCTATGTTGCACAAGCTGGTCTTATACTCCTGGGCTCAAGCAATCCTCCCATCTCTGCCTCCCCGAATGCTGGGATTATAGGTGTATTCAGTGTCCCCTCCCCTTTTTTGTGGGAGGGGTCAGAGTCTTCCTGTCACTCAGTCTGGAGTGCAGTGGCACACCTACAGCCACCACAGCCTCAATCTGCTGGGTTCAGGTGATCCTTCCGCCTCAACCTTCCAAGTATCTGGAACCACAGGCATGCACCACCATACCCAGCTGATTTTTTAATTTATTATAGAGACAAGGTTTTGCCATGTTGCTCAGGCCAATCTCAAACCCCTGAGCTCAGACAATCATCTCACCTCCACATCCCAAAATGCCAGGATTACAGGCATGAGCCACTGTGCCTGGCCCAGTCCCTCCCTTTTTGATGTCTCTCGGACTCTTCTTCTCACCTTCTCCCCTCCATCCTTAGCATCTCTTCCTGCCCTTACCCTTCTCTGGTCAAACCCCTCACCCCCAGTTCCCATGTCCTTTCCTTCTCCCTTTACAGCCTTGCTAAGTCCTGCCTTGGGTCAGCTCCACCGTCTGCCCACTCAGCCCTGTCCCCAGGCTGCCAGACACTGATGAGCAAAAGAACCACACAATCCACCAGCTGGGGCTGTTGCACAGCATGGCTGCACTTGAAGCTCTTGGCCATCCTTTGCTCTGCGGTTTGGGTCTCCCGGCAGTACCCATTGCTGCAAATGTTCTAAGATATCTGTCTTTCTCAAGCATATCTTACTCTCTCCTGCCTCAGGGTCTTTGCGCGTGCTTTCCTCTTGACCTGGAAATTCCTGTACTTGGTTCCCACTGAAGTGTCACCTCCAGGAGTGGTCACAGAGCATCCCTGGCTTGTTCTTAAACCCTCCCAGAGTTAAAAGGGCAACGTGACTAGGGCAGGGAACCTGAATGAGGAGGGAGGAGACCCAGGTCCTAGTCTTTATGCTGCCACCCACCTGTCCAGTTTTGTGATCCTGCACACATCCTCGGATCTTTCTGGGTTTTAATTTCCTGCTCAGCAAGGAAATGGTTGGGCTGTGTCATCACTAAGGATCCTCCCATATGTATGTATATATATATATATATATACACACACACACATAGAGTCAGAGTCTCACTCTGTTGCCCAGACTGGAGTGCAGTGGCATGCTCACGGCCACCACAGCCTCAACCTGCTGGGCTCAGGTGATCCTTCCGCCTCAGCCTTCCAAGTAGCTGGAAATACAGGTATGCACCACCACGCCTGGCTTATTTTTTGATTTATTGTAGAGAGGAGGTCTCACCAAGTGGCCCAGGCTGGTCTCGAACCCCTGAGCTCAGGCAATCCTCTCACCTCCACCCCCCAAAGTGCTGGGATTAAAGGCTTGAGCCATTGCGTTTGGCCTATAAAATTTTATAAGTCTTGGCCTCTCCGGAAAAGATGTTAGAATAAATTCTTCTCTTGCAGTGTTCAGGGAAGCCAGGCCAAGTGAAAATTAGATTCATCTCAAAGAAAACTGACACATGGTGTTCATACCTTGAGTGTACTCTCGTTTCGTCCAGTCAGTGCCCAGACTCTCTCTGCATGACTCCGCCTGCACCAGCATGTGACCTTTATTGTCTTTGTACTGTGTGAAAAGCAACAGCTGAGATGCTTTGGTCCTCATGTCTATGTTGATCTTTCTTGCTTGTCCCTTTGTGTGTGAGTGCCTTTCTTTGCTGCAGTCTATGTTCATGTCCTTTTTTTTTTTTTTTAATTCCTTTTATCAGCAAGGATATCATCATCACACTGATGTCCTCACATATGTGGTTTTTGCTGAGTTGGGTATAAATGATCAAAAGATGATTGGTGACCAACAGACTGATTGCAACATTTGGTTTTCCTGTGTGGCATGTAGCTCCAGGCTGCCAGTCTCCTATTTGTGGATAATCCCGTGGGCACTGGGTACAGTTACGTGAACAAGAGTGGTGCATATGCCAAGGACCTGGCTGCAGTGGCTTCAGACATGATGGTTCTCCTGAAGACCTTCTTTGATTGCCACAAAGAATTCCAGGTCAGCAAAGACTTAGCTGAGCAAAGGGTTGGCAGTAGCCACTTTGCCTGTATCAGGATAAGCATCAACTTTCCAAGGAGTTTAATGTCCAGCTGACTTCAGAGGAAACCTTTTTTCCTCCTGGGATTGGATTATAGACTTTTCTTTCTTTCCTCTTAAAGTTGGTTTTCAACTAGAAAGAATGACCCTGGAGTCAGTATTCTAATCTGACATGATAATCAGACAAGGGTGGGGGGTAGGGGAGAAAAAAGCTGATTTGTTCTGCCTGGCCGTTATATGCAACTGAAATTTGAAATTAATTTGTGTAAAGGAAAGGCAATCAGGATATTTTATTATTTGTAATTTTTTTTTTCTTGCTAGACAATTCCATTCTACATTTTCTCAGAGTCCTATGGAGGAAAAATGGCAGCTGGCATTGGTCTAGAACTTTATAAGGTAACAGAAGATGATCTTATTATGTTTTTGAACAGAAAACCAATTGTGTTACTTTTTTATGCTCACCTGATATGCTTACCTGAATATATTTGAATAGGGCTGTGTACATGCAGAATAACGTTGTCTGTGGTGATAACCATGAAAAGTTTTTAAAAGAATAGTAGAGATTGCTGGCTGGGCCTGGTGACTCAAGCCTGTAATCCCAGCACTTTGGGAGATGGAGATGAGGGGATTGCCTGAGCTCAGGGGTTCAAGACCAGCCTGGGCAACTTGGTGAGACCTCATCTCTACACACACACACACAAAAAGAATAGTAAAGATTGCCATACCACCAGATACAAACAAGTTCTAAAGCTACAGTAAGTAAAAGAAGGTGGTACTGATACAGCAACAGATAAACATTAAATGCAACAGCTAAATAATTCAGAAACTAATTTTATATACATTTTATATGTATGTGTGTGTGTGTGTGTGCGTGTGTGTGTATGTGTGTGTGTATCAGTCCGTTTTGTGTTCCCATAAAGGAATACCTGAGGCTAATCAATTTATATAGAATAGAAATTTATTTTACCTCATGGTTCAGCAGACTGTACAAGAAGCATAATGCCAACATCTACTTCCCGTGAGTCCTCAGGAAGCTTACAATTGTGGCAGAAGGTTGGCGAGGCAGCAAATGTGTCACATAGTGAGGGCTGAAGCAGGAGAGAGAAGGAAGTGCCAGGCTCTTCAAACAACCAACTCTCATGTGAACTAATAAAACAAGGGCTCACTTATTCCTGCAGGGAGGTCACCAAGTCATTCATGAGGGATCCATACCCATGACCTAGATATCTCCCACTATGCCCCATTTCTAACATTAGGGGTCACTTTTTTTTTAGTTGAACCTTGACCTCTCAGGTTCAGGCCATCCTCCCACTTCAGCCTCCTGAGTAGGTGGGACTATAGGCATGTGCCATCGTGCCTGGCTAATTTTTAATTTTTTTTAGAGATAAAGTCTCACTGTGTTGCCTAGAACTCCTAGGCTCAAGCAATTCTCCTGCCTTAGCCTCCCAAAGTGCTGGAATTACAGATGTGAGCCACTGTACCCGGCTAGGATCACATTTTAACATGAGATTTGGAGAGGACAAATATCCAAACTATATCATATGAATATGTATATATGTGTATCACATATTATATATTATATATAAATGACAAGGTGGCGTTTTAAATAATTGGCGCAAGGATAGAATATCAATAAATGGTTTGGAGACAAATGACACTTGTCACTTTGGAAAATAGAAAAGTTGGATTCTTGCCTTGTATAAAACATTCATTCTAGATAGATTAAAAAGTCTCATGGCCAGGCATGGTGGCTCATGCCTATGATCCCAGTATTCTGGGAGACCGAGGCGAGAGGGTTACTTGAGCCCAGGAGTTCAAGACCAGCCTAGGCTACATAGTAAGACCTCGTTTCTATAAACAAAACAAAACAAAACAAAACAAAACGAAAAAAACCTCATAATATTTGGTAGGAAAAGCTTTCCTTCACAAGATAAAACATTCAAAAGCCTACAAGAATGAGTTTGACATATTTAGTCTACATATATAGTTAAAGCTTCTCAGAGTTCCACAAGCAATTTTAAAGGTCTCTACGTATAGACAAACATATACAGATAGGCAAAGTCTCACTGTACAGACACACAAATATGTAATAGAAAAAGATTATTTTATTTATTTGTTTTTTTAGTCAGAGTCTCACTCTGTCTCCCAGACTGGAATGCAGACTGGAGTGCAGTGGCGCAATCATGGCCACCGCAGTCTCAAACTGCTGGGTTCAGGGGATCCTTCTACCTCAGCCTCCCGAGTAGATGAAACTACAGGTATGCAGCACCACACTTGGCTAATTTTTTGATTTATTGTAGAGACAAGGTTTCACCAAGTTGCCCAAGCTGACCTCAAACCCCTGGACTCAGGCAATCCTCTGACCTCGGCCTCGCAAAGTGCTGGGATTATAGGCATGAGCCACTGCACCTGGCCAAGATATTATATCAATAAGTTTATTTTACTTTTCTTTTTGAGTTGGGTCACACTCTGTCGCCCAGGCTGGAGTGCAGTGGCACTATCATGGCTACCACAGCCTTGACCTCCTGGGCTCAGGCAATCCTTCTGCCTCAACCTCCTGTAACTGGAACTACAGACCTATGCCACCACGCCTGGCTAGTTTTTAAATTTTTTTGTAGAGATGCTAGTTTTGAACTCCTGAGCTCAAGTGATCCTCCTGCCTCAGCCTTCCAAATTGCTGGGATTACAGGCATGGGCCACCATGCCCGGCAATTTTATTTTAAAAAGACAATATCCTGGTATAAAAATGGATAAAACATGTGAACAGGCAATTTCCAGAAGAAATACAAACAACCTGTTGGCATAGGAAAAATTTTCAACTTTTATTAGTAAGCCAAGCTCATGAGATTTGCAAATATTTAAAAGATTGATAACACCCAGTTTTGGTAAGAAGTCAGGAAAATAAGTACTCTTATGCACTTTTGGTGGGAATGGAAATTGGTAAATCAGTTAAAAAGGGCAATTTGACATTATCTATCAATTTTTAAAATGTATGTGTCCTTTGACCCAATAATTTTACTTCCAGAATCCATCTTAGGTGAATACTTAAGCATGTGAATATGTCAGGGGATATTTGTTATGCCATTATTTATAATGTCCATACTCTGAAAACAACTCAGTGGCCATCAGTACAGGATTACTTAATGAAATAAGAGTATCCTTCCTGGATGTAGCAATTTGCAGCCATCATAGAGAATGGACAGATCTGGCCAGGTACCATGGCTCATGTCTGTAATTCCAACAATTTGGGAGGCTGGTGCAGAAGGATCACTTGAGCCCAGGAGTTCTAGACTAGCCAGGAGTTTGAGACCAGCCTGGGCAGCATAGTGAGACCCTGTCTCTACCAAAAAAAAAAAAAAAAAAGGAAGAATCTGTATGTATGGAGTGTGGACAACTGTCCTTTGAGAATTCAGTTGTAGGCAAATTGTAGAGCAATATGAGATACCTTGTTTGTAGTTCAAAAAAACACATCTGTATGTAGGTGTATATATTCTTGTGAAGACAAAGGAAGGGGTTAAAATGATATGTAACATGTCAACTAGTCAACTAGCTGTTTAAGGACACAGATAGGGCAAGGTGAAAGAATTTCACATTTTCTGCTATCTCTTTCTGTGTTTAAATTTTGTACAGGAAGCCTTATTAGTTTTTTGTTGTTGTTGTTTATTAAATCTTGCCAGGTGTTGTGGTTCACAACTGTAATCACAGTACTTTGGGTGGTAAAGGTGAGAGACTTACCTGAGCCCAGGGGTTCGAGACCAGCCTGGGCAACTAGGCAAGACCTCACCTCTGCGACAAAATTAGCCAGACGTGGTGGTGCACACCTACACTTTCAGCTACTTGGAAGGCTGAGGTGGAAGGATTGCCTGAGCCCAGCAGTGAGTGTGTCATTGCATTCCAGCCTGGGCAGCAGGGTGAGATCCTGACCCCATTCCCCCCAAAAATGATTAATTTTTTTAAAAGCCTTTCATAGAAGCAGTATATGTACGTTACAGAAAATTAGAAAATACAAGCACAAATTAAAAATGAAATGTTCTCTTTCCTACCAAATAGAGATCACCACAGTTAATGTATAGCTTTCTAAATATTTTTCTGCAAAAAATAATTTCTTGGTAAAAATTTGCAAATAATTCATATTATACATACTGCCTTCATCAATCAGTAGTCCTGACCTTTCTATTTCAGTAAATTTTCACCTCAGGCCGGGCTCGGTGGCTCAGCCTGTAATCCCGCACTTTGGGAGGCCGAGGTGAGTGAATGGCCTGAGCCCACGGGTTGGAGACCCGCCTGGGCAGCGAGACCTCATCTCTACATAAATCAAAAAACCAGCCGGGCGTGGTAGCGCAGGCCTGTAATTCCGGCTACTCGGAAGGCTGAGGCGGAAGGATCGCCGGAGCCCAGCAGGTCGAGGCTGTGGTGGCCGGGAGCGGCCACTGCACTCCAGTCTGGGCGACAGAGTGAGACTCCAACTCAAAAAACAAAACCCAAAAAAACAACAAATTTTCAACTCAAATATTCAGACCTCCTTCATTGATCCCTTCATAACCAGTTTCTCCAAGCTGTTACCTGATCCAGATCCATGAATTACTACTGACTGTGATGTCCCTAAGGTCTCTTTCATCTAGCACAGTCCTTTTTTTTATGACCATGATTTGTTGAAGAGACCAGACCTCTTGTCTTGCTGAACGTCTCAGTTTCTGGATTAGTCTAGAAACTTCTTCATGGTATTAATTACTCTACTCACTGTATTTCCTCCAAAACCGGAAGTTATATTTACAGGCTTGATGCATTCAAGGTAAAATTTTGAATAGAACATATTACAGGTCAGGCTTCAACAGACTGTGGCCACAGGTCAAATCCAGCCCACCACCGTTTTTTATGATCCATGAACTAAGACTGGTTTTTACATTTTTAAATGGTTGTGGGGGGATCAAAAGAAGAAAAATATTTCATGACACATGAAAATTACATGAAACTGAAATTTCACTATTAATAAACAGGTTAATAAAACATTCGTTTTTACATATTGCCTATGGCTCCATTAGTGCTGAAGTGGCGAGTTGAGGAATTGCAACATCGACTGCCTTTGACCCACAAAGCCTAAGTATTTAATATCTGAAAACGTGCCAACCTCTGTCGTAGGTGATGTGCACTTGTTTTGCATCAAATCAGAAGGCACGTGATGTCTAGGTCTAGTCTGATTCCTCCAGTGAACTCTTATGGCCTCTTCTTGCAAAGAAAGTTATCCAAGCCGGGCATGGTGGCTCACACCTGTAATCCCAGCACTTTGGGAGGCAGAGGTGAGAGGCTTGCCTGAGCTCACGGTTTCAAGATCAGCCTAGGCAACTTGCCAAGATCTCATCTCTACTATAAATCAAAAAATTGACCAGGCATGGTGGTGCATGCCTGTAGTTCCAGTTATTTGGAAGGCTGAGATGGAAGGATCACCTGAGCCCAGCAAATTGAGGCTGCGGTGGCCATGATCATGCACTACACTCCAGCCTAGGCAACAGTGAAATTCTGACTAAAAAAAAAAAAAAGTTATCAATTGGTGTTATTTTTGTACCATATGGACGTCCAGTTCCTCATCCACCTTTCACCCACTGGTTTTGAACATCAATTTGTAATTCTCACCTAAATCAGTAATTCCTTTTCCTCCTGGGCTCAAGCAATCTTCCTGGCTCAACCTCTGGAGTAGCTGGGACTACAGATGCCATACCTGGCTAATTTTTTATAGAGACGAGGCCTCGCTGTGTTGCCCATGCTGGTCTTGAACTCCTGGACTCAAGCAATCCTTCCACCTCAACCACCTCAGAGTTCTGGGATTACAGGCATGAGCTACTGCTCTCAGCCTGAAATCAGGAATTTCATTAGGAGTTTCACAGTAGTGCTTTCTCCTTGTGTCATTTTGTTCACAGCTGTTAGTTGGCATGCTTCTATAAAGTGAAACTTCTTGCATCACCTGGGGCTATTTAGGTTACTCTGAAATAAATTCATTCTGGAAAAGCCAGATAAATGCATAATTTTTTTCTCCTTAATTAACAGTGTTCAGAATTAGGGCAGTCATTGTTTTCTTGTTTTAGGTCTCTGGATAGTATGTGCACTCATATAATTCAAAATTCAAAAATTACAAAAAGCATGCTGTGAAGTTCTCCCTCTTGTCCCTGTCCCCTCCCTGGGGCCATCTTTCTTATTAGTTTTTTCCATATCTTTCCAGAGGTCTTTCATGCCTGTACAAGCTAGTTCATGTGTATGCTTTTTTCTCATTTTTACACAAATGATAGTATGTACGATACACTGTTCTATGCCTCTCTTCTTAAAAAATTTAACAATATACTTGGGAGATCTTTTTAAATCAGTTCTAAAAGAACCTTCTTTTTTGTTGCTGTTGTTGAAAGCTTCAATTTAGACATTTATATTACTTGGGGGTTTTTTTTCTTCATTTTTAATTTTTTGTAGAGATAGGAGTATTGCTTTGTTGCCCAAACTGGTCTTGAACTTCTGGGCTCAAGTAGTCCTCCTGTCTTGGCCTCCCAAAGGTGTGAGCCACCAGTACTGGCCTGAGAACATTCTTATTTTTTTAAGTTGTGTCAAGTACCTTGGACACTACCATAATACCTTTAGCCATCGTATTGATAAATGTTTAGATTGTTTCCAATGTTTTGCTACTGGGCAGATGTTTTGCTACTGGGCAGATGTATTACTTTGAAAATGAACAAAAGGAACAGAGTGGCATGAGCCCACTCCTCCCTCGAGGACATCCTAAGGAGTCCTCCCTGCCCTTCAGTGATACTGCCTGGCAGGGGTGAATATACCTAAGAGGCTTCGTGAGCATCTTGTGAGAAATCACAGACCCTGAGATTGGGGGGGCAGTATCCCTCCTAAAGAAGACTAGGGACCCCCCACCCCACTTACATCCTGCCAGCTCCCTGAAAACAAAGTAGAGAAAAGCTCAGACAGTTCCTACAAATGCTGTCTTGCAAATGGTGGCAGGAAAGAGCTGCCCTTACTCTCTTGTGAGTACAAGATTCCCTATAATACCCAGAGAATCTTGTGAAGGGTAGACAGAAAGAAGTCTTCATGCTCTAGAAAGGCAGTTTGTTAAGGCTTGGCTGCCTCTCTCTGTTGAAGAAGGGATGGAGGCCCCTTGGCAAGGATGTTTCTTGGATCTCTTCTAGGCCATTCAGCAAGGGACCATCAAGTGCAACTTTGCCGGGGTTGCTTTGGGTGATTCCTGGATCTCCCCTATTGGTAAGTACACAATGTTCAGGCATTTCCTTACTTCTCCTTTGCCCATCCTTTCCTGGGACTTTGTGCTGTGTTGTCCAGATCAAAGAACAAGGCAGCAGAATGTTTGGGGTCTTGGAGATGTCAGTACAGAAGGTATTTTCCCAAAGAACATCCAAAAAATTCAGGGACAAAGCGCCTACCATGGTGCTCATGAAATGTCAGTAGCACAGGGCTGAACTGAGTTTTTAAAATTTGATTCTCACAACAGAAGAATCAAATTTTGCAGTTGGAGACATTCTAAAATCTCAGAGAGGCCAGGCATAGTGGCTTATGCCTGTAATCCCAGCACTTTGGGAAGCAGCAGGATAGCTTGATCCCAGGAGTTCAGAACCAGCTTGGGCAACAAACTGAGACCTCGTCTCTACAAAAAAAATCAAATAAATTAGCTGGATGTGGTGGTGCATGCCTGTAGTCCCGGCTCCTTAGAAGACTGAGGCAGAAAGATCACTGGGGGGCCAGGAGGTCAAGGCTGTGGTAAGCCATGATTATACCACTGCCTTGCAGCCTAGGCAACAGAGTGAGACTCCTACTCAAAATAATAAAGTCTCGTGAAACTTGCCCTCTGACACACAGGATGAATAGCCTAGTAAAGATTCAAACCCAAGTTCTAATTTGTCACCCTGTCCCCTCTACCTTCCTCATACTGGTTGAGCATTTGGGATGAAATTCCATCTGTTGCTCATGTTGGTGGCTGGACAAAGTTAGCATCAGGTCTTGCAGCTTGGAGGTGTGCAGTTTCAAAACTGAGCATCCTTGCTGGGAGGACAGATAAGAATTGTTTATGTCACAGACATTCAGGGTGTGACTTCAGACATCCGAAATAATTAAACTCTGTCACTGGGTTTCTCAACCTCAGTACTGGTGACATCTCCGGTTGTATATTTCTTTGTTGTGGGTGGCTGTCCTGTCATTGAAAGATACTTATCAGAAGCATCCTTGGCCTCTGCTCATGAGATGCCAGTAGCACCACCCCAGCATGACAACCACAAATGTCCCTAGACATTGCCAAATGTCCCTGGGGGGATAAACTGCCTCTGGGTGAGAACTATTGTTCTAACCTAACAAAAGTCAAAACCAAACTATAGTTAGAAATCAGAGATTTCCTTTGGAGCAGGGAGAGGCATAAGCCAGAAAAGGACATGAGGGAACTTTCTGGGCTGTGTCCTGCATCTTGATTGGGGTATGGTTACATGGCATATGCATTTATCCAAATTCTTCTGATGGCACATTTGTGATGACAGCTCAATTTTTAAAATAGTAATTTATAAAAGGTAATATTTTCCTTTAAAAGATCGGGATTTGGCTTGTTACAGAGTCGTGTTCCTAATGGATTAGGGATTTTTTTTTGGTGGGGGGTATCATAGTCTCACTCACCCCAGGCTGTAGTGCAGTGGCATGCTCACAGCCACCACAGCCTCGACCTGCTGGGCTCAGGCAATCCCTCCACCTCAGCCTTCCAAGTAACTGGTGTGTATCTCCATGCCTAGCTAATTTTTCTTTATTTATTGTAGCAACGAGTTCTCATCACGATGTCCAGGCTGGTCTCTGACCCCTAGACTCAGGCAATCCTCTCGCCTTGACCTCCCAAAGTACTGGGATTACAGGCATGAGCCACTCACTGCACCCAGCCAGATTCAGGATATTTTAATGCTACTTGGAATGGTTATTTCTTACCCTCATGCTTGGCATCTCCGAGGTAGGACTGAAATGGCATTAAACCAAGTCATCACAGAGAGGAGGACTGCTGTTTGGTTTTCCTTCCTGGATAGACCTATAGGACTATCCTATAAAACTGCAGAAGCCAGCCTGGGCAGCATAGTGAGACCTCATCTCTACAAAAAAAATCAGAAAATTAGCTGGGCTTGGTGGCACATGCCTGTCGTCCCAGCTATTTGGGAGGCTAAAGCAGAAGAATTGCCTGAGCCCAGCAGGTTGAGGCTACAGTGAACCATCATGTGCCAGTGCACTCCAGCCTGGTCAACAGTGTGAGACCCTGACTCAAAAACAAAAACAAAACCTGTAGAAACCTTGATCAGAGGCATGAAAGTTCAGCTGTTTTCCTGTCAGATGTTGCTCATGTTGATGGCAAGACAAAGTTGTCATCTTGTCTTGCGACCCAGAGGTTTTTAGTTTCATAACTGAGCATCCTTGTTGGAAGCACAGATAAGAGTTGTTTATGCTTCCAAATGTTGGCACTTACCTTCATGCTTCCTCATGGGGTCTCATCCTGGTTTCAAAACAGCACTAAGCACTTTGCACATTCCGACTTCATTAAATCCTTACAACAACTCCATGGGATGGATGCTATTATGATCCTAATTTTGTAGATGATGAAACTGAGACTCAGAGAGGTTAAACAACTTTCCTAGCATTACCCAGCTAAAGTGGTGGAACTGGGTTTCAAACCCAGGCAGCAGATGCTGGAGTCCATGCACTTACCACTTTGCTACACTACCTAAGCAGAGTCAGTAAGGTTAGCCTCCTGGCTCTGCCAGTGCCATTCATTCTGTCTAGGGTTGGCCTTCTTGCCGTGATCCTCTTCACTTTCTGAATGTGCCTGATTGAATCTCTTTTTTTTTATTTTAAAGATGTGGGGTACAATTCAGGATTAGGTATATTAGTAGACACCGTACAGGTAAAGTTTGGACCTCCCTTTGATCCCCATTTTTCCTGGTTTGAGATCAGGTACCCTTATTGATGTTGTATCCTGCTACTGCCAATCCCTTTCTTATAGTATTAGGATAAATGTTCAGGATCTGCTTATGAGGGAGAACATGTGGTACTCAGTTCTTTGTTTCTGTGACAGAGCACTAGGTATTATAGACTCTAAATCCATCCAAATTGCTGTGAAGTCCATATGTTTGTCCTTCTTAATGGCTGCATAATATTCCATTGTGTATATGTACCCCATTTTTTTTACCAGTCCAGTTTTGATGGGCAGCACGGTTGCTTCCATGTTTTTGCTATTATGAATAGTGTTGCATGACCAGATCTTAATCCTCTCTTCCAGATCTACCTTAAATGTTGCTCCTCCATCCTTGAAGCATTCCTTCAAGGGGAAGTGCTGCTAGTTTCCATGAACAATTGTGGTTTTTGTTTTTTTTTAACTGGAGTCTCACTCCTTCACCCAGGCTGAAGTGCAGTGGCATGCACGCTCATGGCCACTCCAGCATTGACCTTCTGGGCTCCAGCGATCCTTCCGCCTCAGCCTTCCAAGTAGCTGAATCACAGACGTGCACTACCATGCCCAGCTATTTTTTGTTTTATTGTAGAGACGAGGTCTTGCCAAGCTGCTTGGACTGGTCTCAAACTCGCAAGCTCAGGCAATCCACTCGCCTTGGCCTCCCAAAGTGCTGGGGTTACAGGCTGAGCCACCAAGCCCGGCCTGTTTTTGTTTTTGAGTCAGGGTCTCACTCTGTGACTCCAGCTAGAGGACGGTGGCACGATCAAGGCTCACTGCAGCCTTGACCTCCTGGGCTCAGGAGATCTTCCTGCTTTAGACTCCTGAGTATCTGGGATTACAGGCACACACCACCACGCCTGAATGATTTTTTTATTTTTTATTTTGTAGAGACAACAGTGTCTTGCTATGTTGCCCAGGCTGGTCTTGTACTCCTGGGCTCAAGCAATCCTCCTGCCTTGGCCTTCCAAAGTGCTAGGATTATAGGTATGAGCCCCTGCGTCTTACTGTTGTTCATTACTTGCTGGGTAGTAGGTGCTGTGCTAAGTACTAGGCAAAGAGATACAGATAGGCTCCTGGTCTTCAAAGTCTTCATCTGCACTGTCACTAGGCACATGTGTCAATGACATTATGGTGGCCACTAACCACCTGTGACTGTACAAATTAAATTAACTACAATTAAATAAAACTTCAGTTTCTCTGTGACATTATGCACACTTTAAGTGCTCCTTGAAGTGGCTATTGGCTAGCATTTTGGAACACATGGATATAGAACACGTCCATCACTGCAGAAACTTCTATTGGACAGCACAGGTCTACTTCAAAAGTCAGGGCCCACAGGTCAAATCTGCCCTGCTACTTGCTTTGGTAAATAAGTGTTTTATTTGGGCACAGTCACACCTGCTCATTTGCATACTGTCTATGGCTGCTTTGGAGTCTGCAAGAATAGGCCTGACTAGTAGCAGAGACCCGCTGGCCTGCAGAGCCAGATTATTAATAGGAAAAGTTGACCAATTCCTGCTCTAGATCAAGCAGGCAATGGGATGCATTGGAGAATTGTAAGCAATTCTGTATTTCAGGATACTAAGGCATCAGTTTGAAAGTTAAGCTGGATAATTGAATCATATCCAGGTCGCAGAGGCTGTGGCATGCCTGCATTTTTCAGGGTGTGCTCTAAATAATACCAGTCCGATGAGGTGCTATACAAAGGGCTCGAATACATTTCGGAAATGCTAAACACTAGACCTACCTCTTCAAGATTCACAGGCTCATTAAAGGCTCTGAGAAGTCCTGCAGTAAACAAATGTGCTATATTTTGCATAGACCCAAAGGTATTTGATCGAAAAATCATTCTCTCTTCTAATATCTGAATTAAAATCTTGCAGAACTGAGGTTGTTTGAAACACACTTTGAGATGTTTGGCCCTACGGAGCCATGCTTCTAAGCAGTATACTGAAATGTGCTTTATACATTGAGGTCCTTGATTCTTTGTTGGCATTTCTCTCAATGGCGCTTGTCTTACCTGGTGACATGATAGTTGTGAACTCATCTAAGCCAAGGCTGTCAGTTTTCTTTGAGGACAGGCATTGTGTTACTCATAGTAATTTTTTTTTTTTTTTAGTCAGAGTCTTACTTTGTCACCCAGGCTGGAGTACGGTGGCATGATCATGGCTCACTACAACCTCAGTGTCCTGGGCTTAGGTGATTCTTCCCCCTCAGCATCTCAAGTATCTGAGACTGTAGGCATGCGCCACCATGCCTAACTAACTTTTATTTTTTAATTTTCTTTGTAGAGGTAAGGATTCACTATGTTGCCTAAGCTGGTTTTGAACTCCAAGGCTCCAGCGATCCTCCCACCTCACCTCCCAAAGTGTTGAAATTACAGGCATGATCCATCACCCCTCGCCTATGTTTATCTTCTCAAGCTCTTTGCTGCCTCCAGACCCTTAGTGAATTTTCAATATGTTTGTGGGGTAGGGATGAGTTGATTGGCAGTATAGCCATAGACACACTTGAGTTTCAAACTCATTAGTCTTCTTTTTTTTTTTTTTCGAGTTGGAGTCTCACTCTGTCACCTAGACTGGAGTGCACTGGCTCAGGTGATCCTTCCACCTCAGCCTTCCAAGTAGCTGAAACTACAGGCACAGACCACCACACCCAGCTAATTTTTTATGTGTTGTAGAGATGAGGTCTCACTAAGTTGCCTGGGCTGGTCTCAAGCCTGTGGGGTCAGGCAAAGTGGTCAAATCCCACTTTGACCTCCCAAAGTGCTGGGATTATAGGCGTGAGCCACTGCACCCAGCCTATTAGTCTTCTTTGTTTAGCTCCTTGGCAGGAGCTATTATCTCCAAACTGGAGGAGCAACAAGATGCGGAGCAGAAATGTGAGGGCGGAGAAATATTTTAAGCTGTCAAAAAGTCTAGAAGTCTGCAGATAAGAGACTCCACCTACACACCCACTGCCCGCCTGTGGAGGCTGTTACTGGCAGTGACTCACTTACTGGGCCAGTGTCAGGCCAAGTTAATGTGCCATTAGTCCTCAAAGTCAGCTGAAAGGCCCCTGCTCTTCATCCCACCTTCCAGCCACGGAAGTATCAGCCACCTCTTGCCTGGGTGCTGGTAAGTTGAAGAACTTTCCAGTCCAAAGCCACTGGGTCTCTTGCTTCTGTCTCTTTCTGCTTTGGAGGGAAGCCAGTTAGGTTTTTCTTTGTAAAGACAGACCCATGGCACACTTAATTTGTACATATGTGGTTTTCTTTAGATTCCGTGCTCTCCTGGGGACCTTACCTGTACAGCATGGTAAGTAGGTACATCTTTACCACTGTAGCCTCTGTGAAAAACAGCCCAGATAACCTCTTCTGGCTCTGGTCCCAAGAAGGGGAAGCCAGATGAATTTGCCTATGTGGTTGACACTTCTTCTTAGGGGACCATTAGTCCATATCAAAATGGAGACCCAAAGCAACAGCTGGCCTCAGGGTAAATTTAAAGAGAATCAGGAGTTGAATTGTACCCCATATCTTTAAAATAAAAATTAAAACCAAAAAGAGTGAATCAGGACTGCACCAGGCGTGGTAGCTCATGCCTATAATCCCAGGATTTTGGGAGGCAGAGACAAGAGGATTGCCTGAGCCTAGAGGTTTGAGACCATCCTGGGCAATGTGGCAAGACCTCGTCTCTACAATAAATCAAAACATTAGCCAGATGTGTTGGCACATGCCTATAGTTTCAGCTACTTGGAAGGCTGAGGCACAAGGATCCCCTGAGCCCAGCAGGTTGATGCTGCGGTAGCCGTGTGCATGCCACTGCACTCCAGCCTGGCTGATAGATTGGGACTCCGACTCAAAAAATAAAAAGAAAGCCGGGCTCGGTGGCTCAGCTCGTAATCCCACGCTTTGGGAGGCTGAGGTGAGTGGATTGCCTGAGCCCACAGGTTCGAGACCCGCCTGGACAAGTTAGCAAAACCTCATCTCTACAATAATTCAAAAAAATTAGCCGGGCATGGTAGCGTGCGCCTATAGTTCCAGCTACTTGGAAGGCTGAGGTGGAAGGATCGCCTGAGCCCAGCAGGTCAAGACTGTGGTGGCTGTGAGCATGCTACTGCACTCCAGTCTGGGCGACAGAGTGAGACTCCAACTAAAAATAAAAATAAAAAATTATACTTAGTCCAAGTTTTCCAGGTATACATACTCTTTCAATTCCCTGAATTTTTACTGTCAAAATTTTCAAATATGCAGAAAAGTCTAAAGGTCACTGTGAGCACCTATTATGGACCTAGCACCTAGATTCAGTTAGCATTTTGCTGTTTCTTCCAATAAATATGTGGCATGTACCAGTGTGCTTTCCTATGTGAATTCCTGCTCCCCTTCCTCCTACTTCTCCTGCCCCTCCCCAGCTGCAGCAGTATCAGGTGGATGTTCCCAGGTAAAGTGGGCCTCTTTGCTCTTGGTTTGTATTCCAGTCTCTTCTCGAAGACAGTGGTCTGGCAGAGGTGTCTAAGGTTGCAGAGGAAGTCCTGGATGCTATAAATAGTGGACTCTACAAAGAGGCCACTCAGCTGTGGGAGAAAGCAGAAATGGTCATTGAACAGGTAAACTGGGACACGTGCAGGGACCATCCTGCTTGGTTTTTTCCTGCAGGTACGAGACCCGTCACTGGTGTTACCAAGATTGCGGTCTGTCCTGAACCTCCCCACAAACCTGGAAATGATCGCATGCTAAATGACAAACCTGTCAGGTCAGAGCAGTGATAATAGTGACCCCTTACAGGATCAGAAAGCCACTCAGGCCTACAAGACTTCTTTTTCCATAACTGAATGGATGGGTTCTATAAGACTATGTCCTGCCAGGCATGGTGGCTCATGCCTGTAATCCCAACACTTAGGGAGGCTGAGGCAAGAGGATTGCCTGAGCCCAAGAGTTTGAGACCAGGCTGGGCAACGTGGTGAGACCTCATCTCTACAGTAAATCAGAAGAATTAAATGGGCGTGGTTGTGTGCTTGTAGTCCCTGCTACTTGGGAGGCTAAGGCAGAAGGATCACCTGAGCCCAGGAGGTCTAGGCTACAGTCGCCATGATTGTGCCACTGCACTCTAACCTGGACAACAGAGTGAGACTCCAACTTGAAAGAAAGAGAGAGAGAAAGAGAGAGGGAGAAGGAGGAAGGGAGCTAGGGAGGGAGGGAAGGGAAGGAAGGAAGGAAAGGAAAGAAAGGAAAGAGGAAAGGAAGAAGGGATAAGGCAGAAAGAAAGGCTATATCTTGCCGAGGTAAGTGTACAGTTCAGAGACACAGTCTCTTATTTGGACCCTTGCCAAGCAACATTCTGACTTCGGTGAGCCAGAGAGAAGAAGGCACTGGCCAAGGACTTGGGCCTGTGGGACCCTCTGCAGCTGTGTTCTCCCTGTCAATTAGCACACAGGCCTTTGGTTTTCTTCTGCGGGGTCTGAGCGCTGCTCACATGAACTGTGTACCACTCCTGGGAGATTGGGTGACACAGCTGCTTCCTGAGCCTTCAGAGTGGCATTTCTTTTTGATCCAAGCAGATTTGGAAGATTAAAGCACTCTGCTGGGCACAGTGGCTCACGCCTGTAATCCCAGCACTTTGGGAGGCCAAGGCTAGAGGATTGCCTGAGCCAATGGGTTTGAGACCAGCCTGGACAATACTGCGAGACCTCATCTCTACAATAAATAAAAAATTAGCTGGTCATGGTGACACATGCCTATAGTTCCTGCTACTTGGAAGGCTGAAGCGGAAGGATCGCCTGAGCCCAGTAGGTCGAGGCTTTGGTGTCTGTGAATGTGCCACTGCCCTCCAGCCTGGGCAACAAAGTTAGACTCTGACCCAAAAGAAAAAAAGAAAATTAAAATTGCTGTCCTTGGATAAGATGGAGAGCCCTGTGCCTTTCTGTTTTGCAACTTTGATGCTGGAAAAATAAAGAAAACTAACAGCTAGGTGTGCTTTTATATTTCAGAACACGGATGGAGTAAACTTCTACAACATCTTAACTAAAAGTGCACCTGAGTCTGTGTTGGAGTCGGGTCTAGAGTTCACACACAGCCACCTTGGTGAGTGAACCTTTTTTGTTTTGGGGGATTTTTTTTGAGTCAGAGTCTCACTCTGTCACCCAGGCTGGAGTGAAGTGGCACAGTCACAGCCACTGCATACACCTGTAGTCCCAGCTACTCAGGAGGCTGAGGCGGGAGGATCTCTTGAACCCAGCAGGTCAAGGCTGTGGTGAGCCATGACTGTACCACTGCACTCCAGTCTGGGCGACAGAGTGAGACCTCGACTCAAAAAAGTAAATAAATAAGAAGCCTCTTCATTTTCCATATGTTTCTGACTCTCTCTTCCTCCACCTGGGGTAAAAATTGAGGTGACCCGCCTCCTTTTCCAGCCAAAACTGAGTCCCTCCCTCTAACTGCCCAGCATCACCTGCAGCTTGCTAAAGATGTCTTCTTGGTCTTACTTCCAGTCCTTTGACTCACCATGTACCAGTTTGGTTCTAGCTCGTCTTTGTCAGCGTCATGTGAGACACCTGCAACAGGACACCTTAAGTCGGCTCATGAATGGCCCCATCCGAAAGAAGCTCAAAATCATTCCTGAGGATCACACCTGGGGAGGTATTTATTTGACCAATTTAAGTACCATTTGTAGAGTTGTTGCGGGATGAAAAGAAGTGCAAATTCAGACCTTGATTTGTAGGATGGGTTTTGTTGGTGGTGATAATATCCACATTTTATAAATGAGCAAACAGATAAAAAACCAGTAAATGACATGTCAGGGTTGGACACAATGGCTCATACATTGGTAATCCCAGTACTTTGGGAGGCCAAGGTGAGAGTCTCTCTTGAGGTAAGGAGTTCGAGATCAGCCTGGGCAACATAGCGAGGCCCTGTTTCTATAAAAAAAAATTTTTTTAAATTAGCCATGGCCAGGTGTGGTACTTCACACCTGTAATCCTATCACGTTGGGAGGCCAGGGCTCAAGGGGGATCAATTGAGCCTGGGAGATTGAGACCAGCCTGAGCAACACAGACCCCATCTCTACAAAAAATTACAGAATTAGCCAGGCGTGGTGGTGCTTTCCTGTAATTCCCAGCTACTGGGGAAGCTAAAGTGGGAGGATCTCTTGAGCCCAAGAGTTCGAGGCTGCTATAAGCTGTGTGATTGCACCACTGCACTCCAGGCTGGGTCAGAGGGAAACCCTCTTAAAACAAAAAACAAAAAATTAGCCAGGTGTGGCGGTACACACCTGTAGTTTTAGCTACTTGGAAGACTTAAGTGGGAGGATCACGTAAGCCCAGGAGTTGGAGACTGAAGTGAGCTATGACTGCACTCTGGCCTTGGTGACAGAGGGAGACCCGATCTCTTAAAAAAAAAAAAAAAAAAACTTGCCAAAATTGGTTCAAAATAAGGAAAGTGGGTGGGGGAGATATCACACATGACTGGTTATGGGTTAATAATTGTTGAAGCTTGGTGTGGCTGCATGGGGATCATTATATGCTTCTCTTTATTTTTGCATACGTTTGGAATTTTCCATAATAAACATTTAAGATAAAAAAAGCCATGCCTAGGCCAGGCTTGGTGGCTCAGCCTGTAATCCCAGCACTTTGGTAGGACGAGATGAGTGGATTGTCCGAGTCAGCGGGTTCGAGACCTGCCCTGGTCACTTGGCCAGACCTCATCTCTACAATAAAAATCAAAAATTAGCCAGGCGTGGTAGTGCGCACCTGTAGTTCCAGCTACTTGGAAGGCTGAGGCGGAAGGATCGCCGGAGCCCAGCAGGTCGAGGCTGCGGTGGCTGGGAGCGTGCCCCCGCACTCCAGTCTGGGCGACAGAGTGAGACTTCAAAAAAAAAAAAAGCCATGCCCAAGGTCACAGTTGGTTGCAGGTGAGATTTCCAGCCAAAAGTTCTTTGCAGAATGTCAGCTGCAATCGTGTGCTCGGATGACTCTTGGCCGGCTCTCTCTCGCAGCTTCCCCAGGCATGCTGGACGTGGTCTGGCATCTACTGCATTCTGGTCTGCAGGCCATAGCGAGCAAATAACAGGCTCCTTGGATACCAGGACCACATAGAAGTCTTGGATGAGTTTCTCCCTCATCCTGTAGGGAGGCCTTAAGCAAGCAGGACTCCTAGGTTTCTGGGGCAGGAAACACTCCACACTAAGGAGGGTTTTGTTTCATTTGTGTCCAAGATATGCCAAGGTTATGAGGCAGAAGGCTCCTTTCTAGGGTATGGCCCCTTAGCTACTACTGACGGGCTAAGACTTGACTCTCATTCTAATTTTCTTAGGGAACATGGGCCATTCTTTTCTAACCTTCAGTCACCAGAGGGCTCATTCTTTACCTGGTATTATCTTTCTTTCTTTTTTTTAAGGCAGAATCTCATTATATTGCCCAGGCTGGAGTGCAGTGACATGATCCCTGCTCACTGCAGTCTTGACCTTCTGGGTACAAATAATCCTCCCACCTCAGCCTCCCCAGTAGCTGGGACTACAGCCACATACCACCATGCCCTAATTTTTAAAAAATTTTTTTTTGTAGAGAGGAGGTCTCCCTATGTTGCCCAGGCTGATCTCCAACTCCTGGGCTCAAGAGGTCCTCCCACCTCAGCCTCCCAAAGTGCTGGGATCACAGGCTTGAGCCTTCGTGCCAGGCCTGTACCTGGCATTTTCATTTCTCCTCATCCCTTTGACATTTTTAGAAATGAAGAAAAACTAATCACATCAAATAAAAACATTTGGAGCCCAGAGTGGTGACTCATGCCTATAATCCCAGCACTTTTAGAGGCAGAGGCAAAATTGCTTGAGCCCAGGGGTTTGAGATCAGCCTGGGTGACTTGGCAAGACGTCATCCCTACAATAAATCAAAAAAATTAGCGAGGCATGGTGGCACGCACCTGTGGTTCCAGCTGCTTGGAAGGCTGAGGTGAAGGAATTGCCTAAGCCCAGTAGATCGAGGCTGTGGTACCTGTGATCATGCCACTGCACTCCAGCCTAGACAACAGAGTGAGACTGACTCAAAAAAGAGGAAAAAAAAATTTGGTATCAGAAGCTGCAAGGGATGGGCACAACTATGGGACAATCATGGCACTGAGAGACTTAAGGATCACAGGAGGCCAAGAGGTACAGAACAAGCCATTGAGGTCACATCTTGTCTGCTCACCTCCCTCGTTCTGTCTTTATGATGGCATTTTCCAGCCACAGCTTCTCTGGTTATAGGGACTCTCCCTGCCCAGTGTGGCTGGATGGGCAAGGTGATTCTTTTTCTGCTGCTGAGTGCTGATAACCTCTCTTTGGCTCCAAATCTGTCTGCATGTGGTCTAGAAAGCACCCACTGTCCTTGGCCAGTGCCCCCAGGGTCTTGAGTTCCCACGTTTAGTTAAACATGCTTCCTTGGAGTCAGCTGGCCTGTTCAAATCTCAGTTTGCCACTGACTAGCTGTTTCATCCTGGGCATGTTCCTGGGTCTCATTTTCTTAAATTGTTATACAAGTTAAGACTTGTTATCTCCCAGGGTAGTGATGAAGAAGAACCGGGATGTTTCTTGTAAAGTGCTTTTTGGGCGCAGTGACTACAGATAATGGTAGCTGTCACTGTTGTGGTTCAGTGTGATAATAATGATGGTGATAATGGTGACAGTGGTGGTGGTGGTGATGGTAAAGGTGAGGAATTCAGCAGGAGTGCTGTGCCCACGAGCGCTTCTTGTCTTGCGTGGGGCTTGTCACCCATTTGGCTTTCCTCAGGGCCAGCTCAGAATTGCTTTGGGTCTGATTTGGTTTGTTCCAAGGTAGCCCCTCTTATTCAGAACTTGGAGGTTGGCCCTGTGGTTACTTAGCTCAGGAGGAAAAACTGACATTAGCCCGAAGCAGTTTACTCACTGAGTGTGCCAGCCTGAGGAGTATGTTCTGGGCCTCTGCTTCTCTGTTTTCTTGAACTGTAACCTGCAGGTGTCAGTTCCTGGTTAAAAATGGCATCTGTGGGCCAGGTGCAGTGGCTCACGCCTATAAGCATAACACTTTGGGAGGCTGAGGTGAGAGGATTGCCTGAGCCCACAGGTTGGAGACCAGCCTGGGCAACATGACAAGACCTTATCTCTACAATAAATCAAGAAAATTTACCTCTCATTCTGACAAATCCCAAACTGCTATCTCTTTCTCTTTCCCCATGTGCAGGCCAGGCTGCCAATGTCTTTGTGAACATGGAAGAGGACTTCATGAAGCCAGTCATCAGCATCGTGGATAAATTGCTGGCGGCTGGGGTCAACGTGACTCTGTATAATGGCCAGCTCGACCTCATCGTGGACACCATGGGTAGGAGCTGACACTGAGGGACATGTGGAGGCAGTTTCATGGGTTGAGCTGGAAGGCAACTGGCCTCAGACGCGTTAGTCATGGGATTGGTGGTGTTGAGATGCCACGGGAAAGGCCATTTCCTGTTATATCCATCCACTCCTGACCTTGACTCTTCAGAGAGGCAGGGGGCTGCACACAACTGTGACCCCTCAGAGAATCCTGAGTCCTTCCATGGTTTTAGATATCATTCAAGAACACCTGCCCCACCAGAAAATGAAACAAGAAGACATTTTCCTGGCTACTGAGCAAATGCACTACCATAATTGAGGAAAAATTCTGTGGATTTTTTATGTGTTTGGGTTTTTTTTGGTTTTTTTTTTTTTTTGAGATGGAGTCTCACTCTGTCGCCCAGATTGGAGTACAGTGGCCGCTCCTGGCCACCGCAGCCTCGACCTGCTGGGCTCCGGCGATCCTTCCGCCTCAGCCTTCCGAGTAGCCAGAACCACAGGCATGCACTACCACGCCCAGCTGATTTTTTGATTTGTTGTAGAGATGAGGTCTCACCAAGTTGCCCAGGTGGGTCTCGAACCCACGGGCTCAGGCAATCCACTCACCTCAACCTCCCAAGGCATGGGATTACAGGCTGAGCCACTGAGCCCAGTTTATTTGTTTGTTTTTTGAGTCAAAGTCTCACTCTGTCACTGGACTGTAGGCTAGAGTGCAGTGGCACACTCACAGCTACGGCAGCCTCAACCTGCTGGGCTCAGGTGATCCTTCTGCCTCAGTCTTCCAGGTAACTAGAACTATAGGCACACGCCACCACGCCCGGCTAATTTTTTTATTTATTGTAGAAATGAGGTCTTGCCGTGTTGCCCAGGCTGGCCTTGAACCCCCAGGCTCAGGCAGTCCTCTCACTTCCGCCTCCCAAAGTACTGGGATTACAGGCATGAGCCACCGCACCCAGCTAAAACTGGGTTTTTATGCAATGTCACAGTAGATGTTAAAGACTGCAAAGTGAATTAACACTAAACCTTAATGACCCTCTAACCCGGAAGACCCAGTCTTTGTGGAAACCTACTGCACTGTCACCTGCCACCTGCCACCCGTGTGCTCATGTCTGAATGCAGTAGGTCCTGGTAGAAGCAAAGACACGTTCTCAGAGCTGGCAGGCAGAGCAAGGGACATGGTCTGGTAAGTTTGGTGTGCCTCACAGAATCAGCAAAATTGAGTATTTTTGTAACTTGGCAGCAAGGGCACTAAGGACAATTTGGAAAGCTGCTGCGTTTCTTCCATGAACTGCCAAGTGATCCTAATATCTCATTCCAGAGACATCTCAGTCCTCCCTGTAGGCCTCCAGAGGTCCCCAGGTTTTATCCTGGAGAGCAGATGGCAGGGAGAAAGTCATGGGTAAAAATAGTCAGGCTTTGCAGCTGTGAGTTTTCTCCTAGCAGCCTAGGTGGCACTGGGAGTAAGAAATGCAGATAATAATAGAAGGCCCCCAGCAGCCCTACTGAATTAGAATTTGCATTTTAACAAGATCCCAGGTGAGCACCAAGTTCTAGGACCTGGATGTTTCCTCCTCTACTCAGCTATTAACACTGGGCCCTTCTCTTTGTCCTTCTCATCAGGTCAGGAGGCCTGGGTACGGAGTCTCAAGTGGCCAGAACTGCCCAAATTCAATGAGCTAAAGTGGAAAGCCCTATACAGTGACCCTAAATCTCTAGAAACATCTGCTTTCGTCAAGTCCCACAAGAACCTGGCTTTCTACTGGATTCTAAGAGCTGGTCACATGGTGAGAGAAAGAGTCAACTTTTGTACGAGGCTTAGAATTGTCCCAAGAAGGAAGCTTTGGGCAGTTTATTATGTGTGTGTTCACTATCAAGATTGGTCTTATAAGAAGTACTTAGGACTTTGGAGTGTTTTTTGAGTTCTGTCACAAAATTCTTCTATTAGTTTTTGAGTCTGAAAACTCATTTGTATGTGTGATTTTTTTTTTTTTAATTTTTTTTGGTTTTGTTGTTTTGTTTTGTTGAGTCAGTTTCACTCTGTCATCCAGGCCGGAGTGCAATAGCACAATCGTGGCTCACCACAGCCTCCACCTCCTGGGCTCAGGCAGTCCTTCCGCCTCAGCCTTCCAAGTAGCTGGACTATAAGTGCGTGTCACCATGGCTGGCTAATTTTTTTTTAAAATAGACATGAGATCTCGCTATGTTGCCCAGGCTGATCTCGAACTCCTGGGTTCAAGCAATCCTCTTTCCTCAACCTCCCAAAGTGCTGAGATTTCAGTCATGAGCCACCGTACCTGGCCTAAAACTCTCATTTTAAAAAGTAAATCCTCCTGAGAGAGTTAAGCCGGGCTCTCTGTTGTTTAGTCTTTAAATGAATTAATAAGTTACTTTCTTCTCCACTGTTTGTCCTGATGGATCAATTTGTCCTTGGTGAAAAAGGGAGAAATTCCCTTTTCTTGACTATTTTCAGGGCAGGAAAACCAAAACAAGGTGCTCTACAAAGCTGAGGTACCAGAGCCTGGCACAAGATGGGGGAGGGTCTCGAGCAGAGGTGACACTGGGATTTCCATTGGGAAGAGGCTTTGGGGACAAAGCTGGGCCATGAGACTGTCATGGTTTCAGAGTGGGCATACTGTTTTCCTTAAGCTGTATGTTAATTGAATGGCTTTTCCTTGGGCTGAGAGAGGCCTGGTATGACCCATCACATGAGGTCAGGCGTGACATTTTCCATATGTGGCATCATGCCGGCACTCAAAAAGGTTAGAGTTTTGGACTTTGGATTTTCTGATGAGGAATGCTCAGCCCATATGAGAAAGAGGTTTCTGCTGAGGCTGGTAGGAGGGAACAAGCCCATTGCTTGCTGGGGTGCTGGGGGTTCAGGCCCGTTTCCTCTTGTTTGTCACATATAGAAAAGCATATCTTCCGGGGACAGCCTTAAAATAGTCATCCCCAAACCACTTCCTTTTTAGTTGATTAAATGTCATGTTAGGATGCCCTGCTAATGTACCTGTGCCTCCTGGGGACTCTGGGCACAAGCATTGAGGACAGGGGTGTGCTGTAGAGTCACATAACTGCAGAATGGGGAGACCATAATTTTATCCCCTCTGTATAGGGGAGAAACTGAGTGTCTGCCCTTTTCCCTTTTGAGGGTGTATGGGAAGGAAACTTTTTTTTGAGTGGGGATCGCACTCTGTTACCCAGGTTGGAGGGCAGTGGCGTTATCATGGCTCTGATATGGCTCACTGCAGCCTCGACATCCTGGGCTCAGGCAATCCTTCTGCCTCAGCCTCCCAAGTAACTAGGACTACAGACGTGCTACCAACCCTGGCTGATTTTTTATTTTTGTAGAGCTGAGATCTTGCTATGTTACCCAGGCTGGGCTTGAACTCCTGGGCTCAAGCAATCCTCTCGCCTCTGCCTCCCAGAGTGTTGGGATTACAGGCATGAGCCACTGCACCCAGCCAGGAAGGAAACTTTTTAAAGAATTTATTCTAAAAGACTGAGGGAAAACAAAAGAAAGTTGAATAGCAACTCAAAAATCAGATGGCATCCAGAGGTCCTTGTTTGTCTTTGCAACTCTCCAATTAGCTTCCCTCTCACCTCTCTCTGCTCTGTTCCCACTCTGGAATCCCTCCTACCCAAAGAATCCTTTAAAATGATCCAGGGCTTGGTATCTCAGCCTGTAATCCCAGTGCTTTGGGAGGCTGAGGTGAGTGGATTGCCTGAGCCCGGGAGATCTCATCTCTACAATAAATCAAAAATTAGTCGGGCGTGGTAGCGTGCGCCTGTACTGGCTACTTGGAAGGTTGAAGTGAAAGGATCACCGGAGCCCAGCAGGTCGAGGCTGCAGTGGCCAGGAGCGGCCACTGCACTCCAGTCTGGGTGACAGAGTGAGACTCCAACTCAAAAAAAAAAAAATGTTTAGAATCTTCTTTCTTCCTTGAACAACCTGGCTCCCAGTATCATAAGCAGAGACCTAACAAAGAAATCAAAAGATCAGCTCCAAATGGAGTAGAAGGTTCTTTTCTAAGTGCCACCCATCACAGTCAGGGCCCAGAAGAGCTTTTGTCCAGAGCAGGGGTCATTTCCAGAAGGGACCCTCTCTTTAAGAGATGTGCCAGGTACAGCTGTCCTCTTGAGTGTTTGTCACAGAGCTGGCTTCCTTTGGGAAGCAAGGTTTCAGGACATTGCCCCAACCCCTGCCCCAGGAATGGCACTAACTTGGAAGTTGCTTGGTTCTAGGTTCCTTCTGACCAAGGGGACATGGCTCTGAAGATGATGAGACTGGTGACTCAGCAAGAATAGGATGGACTGGGCCGGAGAAGAGCTGGTTTGGCCTCAGGGCACCGGAGCCAGAGTCCCTGGAGCTTGCAGGAAGCACCATTCTTCCCTGAACCTACCTTGGGCTATGATCATGAATGTTTCTACCAGCTTCTGCAGAGGAGAAAATAGTTGCCTCTCGAGCAACTTGGAAATCATTTCTGCTTCATAAAAAAACAAAGATTTTGGAAATTGATTTGTTTTCATCAACATGAATAAGAGATTTACTTTTTTCTTATTACAGAAGCAAATAATGTGATTTATAGAAAAAGTGGAAAAATGCAGGTAAACAAAGAACAAACTAAACACCCATATCCTCCCTTCTCAAGGATAAGCATGTCACCAATTTAATGAATGTCCCTGCAGGATTTATTTTTTTTTTTTGCTATATATACACATATATATTTTTTACAAAAATGGAGTCATTATGTTATTTTACTATCTACTTTGTTTGACATCTCAATATGTCCTAAACACCATTTCATTTCAATAAATGTTCTTCTATTACATTTCTAATGGCTTCTGAGCATTGCATTTCATGGTTGTACCATAACTTATTTATCAAATGTCCAATTGTTTCCCACAAGTAATTTTCAGTTTGTTGCTCTAGTAAATAGTGTTCTGGGATTCATCCTGATAGTTATTTTTTATGCTCATCCTTATTTTCTTATATAGTTGTTTAGTCAAAAGATTGTCACACGTGTTTAAAATTCAAATAATGAGGCCAGGCACAGTGGCTTATGCCTGTAATCCCAGGACTTTGGGAGACTGAGGTGGAAGGATTGCTTGAGCCCAGGAGTTGGAGACCAGCCTGGGAAACATAGTGAGACCATGTCTCTACAAAAATCAAAAAATTGACCAGGCATGGTGGCACATGCCTATAGTTCCAGCTACTAGGAGGGCTGAGGTGGGAAGATCACCTGAGCCCAGGAGGTTGAGGCTGCAGTGAGCCGTAATTGTGTCACTGCCCACCAGCCTGGACAACAGAGTGAGACCAAAAACAAAACAAATTTTCGAATAATGAGCTCAGCACTTTTGTTCATTCCAGGCTCACTGAGTGCATAAGGGACCTAGCAGCTTCTAGGCCTGTCCTGAAAGAAATAGCACCTTTGTAGCTGCAGGGCTGAGATCCTGAAAACCAAACCCAAAGCCTGTTCCTGCAGAATGTGAGCAAAGCGTTAAGAACAGACTATGCCTACATGATTAGCCCCTTTGAACCCTGGGACTAAAATGGACTCCAGGTTGGGTGTGGTGGCTTATGCCAGTAATCCCGGCGCTTTGGGAGGCTGAGGCGGGAGGGTCACTTGAGGCCAGGAGTTTGAGACCAGTCTAGGCAGCACAAACCACAAACATGCTCCTTGTGCAGAAACTACCCAGGTCCCTATGGTTCACTGTTAAAGCGCAAGCATTCCAGTGTGCCCTGGAAAAGGAAGAACATTAGAAGCTGGTGCTGGATACCCTTGGGCCCAATAATGTTTATCTTTTTCCTGTTGCTTTTGCTGTGTATCTTTTGTTACAAAAAAATTTTAGCTGTGAATATAACCTGTTACTGAGTCTTGTGAGTCTTGAATTGCAACACAAATTGAATCCCCAACCCACAGAATCTCTTCTGTGAAAAGTGAGTGCAAGCTGAGTCCGGTGGCTCACTCCTGTAATCCCAGCACTTTGGAAGGCTGAGGCGAGAGGATTGCCTGAGCCAAGGGGTTTGAGACCAGCCTAAGCAATATGGCGAGACCTCATCTCTACAGTAAAATAATTAGCTGTGCCTGATAGAAATGAGGTCTCTAGAGATGTAGAGATGAGGTCTTGCCATATTGCTTAGGCTGGTCTCAAACCCCTTGGCTCAGTCGCATGCCTGTAGTCCCAGCTACTTGGAAGACTGAGATAGAAGGATTGCCTGAGCCCAGCAAGTTGAGGCTGTGGTAGCTGTGAGTGTGCCACTGTACTCCATCCCAGGCAACAGAGTGAGAATCTGAGTCAAAGAACAAAAAGTGAGTACACTGACATGAGTCATCTGGGCAAGTTTCAGTGACCTTTCCGGGCACTTGCAGCAGTCCTTTCATCCCTGCCTGAGAAGGTTAACCTCTTGCCCTAAGATCCTACCATTTATTCCTAGACTTGCCCATGACCTTTTTGCCTGCTACATAATATTCTCTCTCAACCCACACTTTTTAACCTTTTTACTCTTTTTAGGGAATTCCCGATGATCAGTTGACCAAGAAAGCCAGCTCTCGGGCTTAATTTACAGATAGTTCTGCCCAATATGCATGCACCACCTGTAAGTTCACAGCTACGGCACCACAGCCCTATTCTGAGACAGCCCTGCAAGACAGTGGTGAAGGGAAATCCTCCCAGTGGGCAGAACCTGGAGCAGTGTACCTGGTCATTCATTTTTCTAGGAGGAAAAATGAACAGAATGGGCCTTCACCAAGTCACAGTTTGGTTAGGTAGTCAGGGACTTGGAAGAAAGATATTTGGAAATCAATGACAGGGAAGTCTAAGGAAAAAGTATAAGGCTAGACCTCTCAAAAGGGCAGAGTGTGAAGATATTTGTATTCCATGTGAACGCTCACCAAAGGGTAAAGGATAATCTTAATAATCAAATAGGTAGATAACCCATTCTGTGGATTTCAGACAGCCTCCTGCATCCACTCCTGTGGACTCATGAACAGAGACGCCATGGTGGCAGGGATGGAGGTGATGCATGAGTGTAGCAACATGGACCTCCACTGACCAAGGCTGACTTGGCTAAATCCACTGCTGAGTGCCCCAACTGCCAGCAGAAGAGACAGCAACACTGCCCGAAGACAACAGCCAGCTCACCTGGTGTTGGGTTGATTACACTGAACCACTCTCATTGTGGAAGAGGCAAGCAGCACTTTATTCTTTCTAGAATCGACACTTGCTCTGGACATAAATTTGCCTTCCCTGCCCACATGCTTCTGTCAAGACTACCACCTGTGGACTCATGCCTTATCCACGGTTATGGTACTCACAGCAAATGAAACGCAGCAGCAGTGAGCATATGCATGTGGAATTCACTGGTCCCACCATGTTCTCTCATCTTGAAGCAACTGCCTGGACAGATGATTGAATGACTTTTTGAACATTCAGTTATAGTGCCAGCTAGGAGGTGACAGATTGCAGGCCTGGGGCATCGTCCTCCAACATGTGGTATGTGCTCTAAGTCAGCATCCATGTTTACCCCATGCACAGAATCATTGTGTCATGTCAAGCATAGCAGGACTTTGTTATTGCCTTTATTTGGAGATTAAGTGTGGTTTAAGGTGACATTACGAGTGCCAGGTCACCGAGGGGTGGACTGTAGTATTTCTGTAATGTTTCAACTTGGCCAGGCTGAGTGACATTTTTCAGAATGGTATGTTTGCTGTATGTCTCTGATTTGGGTGACCCACAAGAGAGATTCTTCTGAAAATTTGGAGGAGAGAAGTGAAGCGGCGCCAGACTCGAGTGCAGTGACATACTCATGGCCACTGCAGCCTTAACCTACTGGGCTCAGGTGATCCTTCTGCCTCAGCCTTCCAAATAGCTGGAACCACAGGCACATGCCACTTTATTTTTTTATTTATTTATTTACTGTAGAGACTAAGGTCTCGCCAAGTAGCCCAGACTGGTCTCAAACCCACGGACTCAGGCAATCCTCCAGCCTCCACCTTCCAAAGTGCTGGGATTACAGGCATGAGCCAACGTGTTCAGCAGCAGCACCATTTTTATCTCACACATGTCATTTTTCTGCTCAGCTTCTTAGCAACCATGTCAGCAACTGCTCCCCCTTCCTTGGGAACATCCCGGACTGTGTCTACCCCACAGGCCACGTGAGTGTGCTTAGCACCATTTCTGACCCATGGATTGTCCTATTGTACTCCATCTCCTGCTTGTGAGATTCACATTGTTGACATCCATTGCTCCTTCCTAACTGCTTGTCCTGTGTACTTTCATCTCCAGCATCAGATTTGGAGACAACAGCTTTATGAAGACTGTCTAACCACCCATGCACTGCATAGACAAATTCTTGTGACACATACACATGTCTGTGAACTCTGCTTCCCTGATTGAATCCCAACTGATACCATTATCTAAACTTGATTTTTCTTTTTTTATTGATCCAAGGTCTCACTCTGTCATCCAGGCTGGAATGCAGTAGCACACCCATGGCCACCACAGCCTTGATCTATTGGGCTCAGGTGATCCTTCCACCTCAGCTTTCCAAATGACTGAAACTACAGGCTTACACCACCACGGCCAGCTAATTTTTGTATTTATTGTAGAGAAAAGATCTCGCTAATTTGCCCAGGCTGGTCTCAAACTCCTGAACTCAGACAATCCTCTCATCTCTGCCTCCCAAAGTGCTGGGATTACAGGTGTGAGCCACCACGCCCGACTTTTTCTTTTCTTTCTTTTTTTTTGAGTCAGGATCTCACTCTGTCACTCAGGCTGGAGTGCAATGGCATGATCACAGCTCACCACAGCCTTGACCTCTTGGGCTCAGGCGATTCTCCCTCCTCAGTTTCTCAAGTAGCCTTAAAGAAAATTCAATTTTTTTTTTTTTTTTTTGAGTTGGAGTCTCGGTCTGTTGCCCAGACTGGAGTGCAGTGGCCACTCCTGGCCACCGCAGCCTCAACCTGCTGGGCTCTGGCGATCCTTCCGCCTCAGTCTTCCAAGTAGCTGGAACTACAGGCACACGCTACCATGCCCGGCTAATTTTTTTGATTTTTTACAGAGATGAGGTCTCACCAAGTTGCCCAGGTGGGTCTCGAACACGCGGCTCAGGCAATCCGCTCACCTCAGCCTCCCAAAGGCACAGGATTACAGGCTGAGCCACTGAGCCCGGCTTAAAACTGAATTATTTTACTGGATTCAAAATTCTCCACAATTGGATTGATAATGTCTTTCTTTTCTTTTTCTTTTTTTTTCTTTTGAGTCAGAGTCTCACTCTTCTGCCCAGACTGGAGTGCAGGGGCATGCTCATGGCCACTGCAGCCTTGACCTGCCGGGCTCAGGCAAGCCTTCCGCCTCAGCCTTTCAAGTAGCTGGAACCACAGGTGTGTGTCACCATGCCCTAATTTTTTAAAATTTATTGCAGAGATGAGGGCTCACCAAGTTGCCCGGGCTGATCTCAAACCCCTGGGGTCAGGCAATCCTCTCACCTAGGCCTCCCAAAGAAAATGTCTTTCTGTTGCCTCTACTTGTGAGCAACAACTCAATCAACTTTTTTTTTTTGAGTCGGAGTCTCATGTTGTCATCCAGGATGGAGTGTAGTCACATGATCATGGCCACCACAGCCTCGACCGAATGGACTCAGGTGATCCTTCCACTTCAGCTTCCGAAGTGACTGGAACCACAGGTGTGTGCCACCATGCCCAGCTAACTTGATTTTGATTTTGATTTATTGTAGAGATGAGGTCTTGCCAAGTTGTCCAGGCTGGTCTTGAATCCTTGGGCTCAGGCAGTCTTCTCACATCTGCCTCCCAAAGTACTGGGATTACAGGCATGAG